AGACCCCTTGTAAAGACCTATTAATGAAAAGCTCCACCAGGCCTGGTAACACAGGCCTGTAATCCCAACTATTTGGGAGGCTGAGGCAGGAGGATCACAAGTTCAAGGTCAGTCCCAGCTACAAGAGTGAGTTGAGGGCTGAAGAGATGGCTCAGAGGTTAAGAGTACTGACTGCTCTTCCACAGGTCCTGAGTTCAATTCCCAGCAACCACATGGTGGCTCACAACCATCTATAATATGATCTGGTACCCCCTTCTGGCTATTATACATAACAAATAAATAGTTTAAAAAAAAAAAAGAGTGAGTTGAAGGTCAACCTAGATAACTTCGTGAGACTCTATCTCAAATAAAATAAATTAAAATTTAAAAAGATGGCGGGGAGGGGGGGGTACATCTAGATCAATAGCAGAGCACCTGCCTAGAATACATAAACCATTCAGTCCCTAACACTGGAGGGGAAAAACAGCAACTTTATGAAGCTAGAAGTAAATAAAGACACACTTTCTTTTTTTGTTTCATTTCCTCGTCTATGAAACCTTCACAGACGTTCCAGCAGAAGCCGGCATTCATGTCAGAGGGCCCCACAAGGCTGGGCCAGGAAAGAAAGGGCCCCACGCAGACAGTACTCTTGGCTGGATTTCCTCTGCCATCACTCACCTCACACAACAGAGAGGAAGAAAGAAAAGAGAGGATCACAGGTGACCAAGAAACAGCAGACCACAATGAGAATCCAGACAACCCTGGCTTTCCAGCTTCAGCCTGGAATTTCACAACCATTTCTAACCCACAGGAAAGCCCATGGAAGGCTGCCAGTTCCAGTACAGACCCTTCCATTGGGTCCCTCTTCCCTCCATACACATCCCATTGGGTCTCCTTAGCTCCTAGGATCATGGGGCATGTCCTGAATGTCTAGACAAAGGACAAACCCCCATCCCACAATGCTCAGCCTTGCACCTGCCATTACTGGTCCCCTCTCTTGCATGCATCTGTCTGCTCCATGAAACTCTCTCCCACCACTAAGATGAAACTCACTGTAAAGACCCTGCATGGGACCCTGAACAATGGTGCACAGCACCAGGGACATGGGAGTCCTTCCCAACCTGAGTCAACAAGTGTCCAGAGCCAGCCTAAGTCCAGCACAAAAACAGAACCTGAGGGATCCTTACATGTTCTCTGTGCCCGCAAACACTCTCTCTCCTCAGACCTTCGTCATTACCCAGCTCCTGAAGGACAATGCTGCACAGTAGACAATGCACATCAATGGAAACAAGTCTGGGGGACAGATCACACCTTTTTCTACCCTAATCAAATATGGAACAGACAATATGGAATAGACTGTGACCAGCCCTCTCAGGCCACCAAGATTAAGTAGGCCCTGATGTTAACTGGAGGGGGCATGCTTTCACCTGGACTCTGAGCCCCCACTGAACTCTGAGGTCTGAGATTGTAAGACTAAGGTGGTGCTGGCCTTTTGTCCTAGCAGGAGGCAGAGGCAGGCAGATCTCTGAGTTCGAGGCCACCCTGGTCTACAGAATGAGTTCCAGGACGGCCAGGGCTGCACAGAGAAACTCTGTCGAGGGTGGGGGGTGGGGTGGGGGGTTGGGAGCTGGATTTCCTAAGAGGCTATCAAGGAGCATCCCCTTAGAAATACTTGCTAATCTGTTACACAGGAAACCAGGCTGAATATATGTAAGTAGCTGTTACAGAACCTTTGAGAATCTGAAGTCTGTCTTCAAGAACATACAATAATTCAACCCCAGTAGCCCTGATGCTCAGTTTCCTTAGGGTGGCAGGTGGTACTTTTTATTCAGTTATTGTATTGTGAAATATACCCATAAACCTAGGAAAATGTACAACACATCGTCAGTTTTTAAGAAAAAGAGGAACATTCAGGAATGACCACACAGGCTAAGAAACAGCATGATGTTAGGCATACTTTCTTTCCGCCTTTCTTATTCCTATGTCCTCGGGCCAAAATCAACCATTCTCTTGAATTCAAGATTATTTTTCCCATCCATTTTATTTTACTTGTTTTTATTGAAGCATAGTCTCCCTATATTGCTCAGGCTGGCCTCAAATTTCTGGCTCCAGTAATCTGTCTCAGCCTTCCAAGTGGCTGGGACTACAAGTATATACCTTTGAACCTTGCTTCTCTCACCAAGTTCTTATACTTTTACCTATGAATGTATCCATTAAAAAGGTATTTGTCAAGGTTGGTGAGATGGCTCAGCGAGTTAAGGCACTTGTTACCAAGCCTGGTGACATGAGCTGGATCCCCAGAACCCATATGGTGGAAGAGAACTGACTCTGGCAAATTAGCCTCTGACCTCCACGTGAAAACTGTGGCATTCTAGCGGGGCGGTGGTGGCGCACGCCTTTAATCCCAGCACTCGGGAGGCAGAGCCAGGCGGATCTCTGTGAGTTCAAGGCCAGCCTGGTCTACAGAGCGAGTTCCAGAATAGCCAAGGCTACACAGGGAAACTCTGTCTTGAAAAACAAA